TGAAGAAGGTAAAGTTCTAGTTATTGATTGTGATATTAGGATGGATGAGAGGGCTACTTTTACAAGCTCTTTAATGAGGGAAGCATGTTTGACTTGGGCTTGGAGGACTTGTTAATTGACGAAGAGGAATGGAATTTGGTTTTTTACCGTAGGATCCGCATCGGAAAGGTTAAGGCAACTCTTAAGAAAATGGACAATGGCAAAGCTATTGGACCTAACAGTATTCCTATCGAAGTTTGAAAATGTGTAGGCGAGGAGAGTGAATTGTGGCTAACCAAGCGTTTTAATGAAATTTTACACTCCAAGATTATGTTGGATGAATAGAGGAAAAACACTTTGGTTCCTATTTACAAGAGTAAAAGAATTCAAACTATGTAAGCTACAGAGGAAAAACACTTCCATTTCTGAGAACCAATTTGGATTTATGCTGGGGAGATTCACGACAGAAGGGAGTTATTTACTAAAAGGGTTAATGGAAAGGTATAGAAGTAAAGGAAGGGATTTACATTTTTTTTATTGACTTGAAATAGCTTATGATCATGTGTCAAGAGAAAAATTTGGAAAGCTTTGGAGAAGAAAGGTGTTTGGGTTGCTTACATCAAAGCCTTACGGGATATTTACGAGGGGTTAACTACAAGTATAATAAAGCCTGGAGGTGAAACAAAAGACTTCCCTATCAAGATTGGCTACACCAGGGACCTTCTTTGAGCCCTTACTTGTTTAATCATGTTCTAGATGTTCTAACTAGGCTTATTCAAGAAGAAATCCCTAGGTGCATGCTTTTCGTTGATGACATAGTTTTCGTGATTGAATCAAGAGAAGAGATTAACTCTAGATTAGAGCTATGGGGAAGTACCTTGGAGTCAAAAGGTTTTTGTTTGAGTAGGAGCAAAACAGAATATATGCATTGTAATTTTGGGAGAGGCAAGTTAGTGGTGATTTGGAGGTTAAAATGGGAGATCAAATCATTTCTCAAGTGTCAAAGTTCAAATATCTGGGATCCATCATACATGAAGATGTTGAAATTGATGGAGACAGTTTCTCATAGAATACAAGCAAGGTGGTTAAAGTGGAGGAGGGCTGTTGGAGTTATTTGCGATAAAAAGGTATCTGATAAGCTTAAAGAAAAATTCTATCAGACTGCTATAGGATTAGCTGTTATATGGTAGTGGATGTTGGGCTCTAAAAGAAAAACAAGAGCATAAAGTTAGGATGGCAGAAATGATGATATTGAGATGGATGTGTGGTCATATAAGAAAAGATAAGATTCAAAATGCAAATATAAGAGTAAGAGTACTTGTGGCACCTATCAAAGAGAAAATGGTTGAATATTGTTTGAGGTGTTTTGGACATGTATAGAGAAGGCTATTGGAGGTGCCGGTGAGAAAAGTAAATCAGACAGTTTGGAGCCTTTTAAAAAAGGCAAAAGAAGACCGAGGAGCACACTCAATGAGGTCATTGAATGAGACTTTCGTTAACAATCTATCAAAATATTTGATAGTTGATAGATGACAATAGTGTCATGCGATTTATGTAGTCAACCCCAACTAGAGGGATAAGGCTTGTTGTTGTTGGACTTGTTAGAATATTAACTAGCTAAAATATATAACTTATAATCTGACTTGAGAGGAGTTATGTGGATCAATGATGGAGTTCTCAATTCCAAATCCCTTTTTTATTTTCATGTTCTGTGTATTTCTATTCCCCTTTCTCTCATCAATATGTGGTTGCTAATTTTCAGGTATAGTTCCCAATAACGAAGGTCGAGTGCTGAGTGATGCTTCAGGGGATTCTACATTACTTGAGGAGGGTTTGTATGTTTGTGGTTGGCTGAAGAGAGGGCCAACTGGAATTATTGCCACAAACCTTTACTGTGCTGAAGAAACTGTAAGCTTGCTTCTATATTCATGTTGTTCTTAGGAAGCTTACTACTTGACAGTGGTATAGATGATTGCAAAACCTGCCATACTAGGGCTTATAAGTTCCTAGGGAGTTTGCAAACAGCTAAACATGAAATTTTTGCTTGAGAAGTGTTAAAGATTTGAGTCTGAAATACTGTGGGTGATTGGCATTCGAAGTAGTTAGATTCTTAACTATTTTTCCATTGCCTGATGTTAATAGTACTAGAAATATAATTATATGATACATGCATGCCAAGTTATATTGTAAAATGAGCTACTAAATCCATAAAGCCTTCATCCCCCCCCCGGGGGGTGGAAGGGCATAGTAGCTCTGTCCCAAGCAAGTTGCTTTACTTTCATATGGAATATGGATCTGTGTGATTGTTAGTTTTGTATTTTGGCTGACAATCAACATGACAGGTGTCAAGCATATCAGAAGACCTTAATAAAGGAGTTTTGGTACCATCGTCGATCTTGCCAAAACAAGGCAGAGACGGTCTTCGCCAGCTCCTACATGATAGAAATGTAAGAATAGTTTCATTCAGTGATTGGGAGAAGATAGACACTGAAGAAAAGAGGCGTGGAATTACAGTAAACAAACCTAGGGAAAAACTAGCCACGTGGGAAGAACTGCTGAAAACTGCCTCAGGATGAACCAGTTCTTCCATATGATACTTCAAGATTAGCTTGGTATATGCAGCATACCTACAAAAAAATTGAAAATAATTGAAAAAGAACTACCAAAATGTAGATTAGCGTATTTGTTCTCTTCATCTTTAGAGCAACATTCTTTTCTCTTCCTTTTCAATTTTTGAAAATAGTTTTGTTAATTCTACATTGTTAGATCCTCTCCTGTGAGGCATGAATGGTTGGCTGCAATACAAATTACAAATGCAAAATACTGTTGAGCAATGACATTATCCAAGTCGCATGCTTTGAGAGTTTTAAGACACTATTATTGTTCCTTACCTCAGGTGTTTCTATTTACTCTTACAAATATTGAGATTCTATTGTTATTTCTTGAGATCCACTGGCTTGGGTTTCATAACATATCTTCTAATTAATTTTGATAAATATGCCATGCTTCCGTCATAAGCACTGCTTCTAATTTTAAGGGGATTTTTGAGCTATGCATACTTTTTGAATAGGAAAGAAAGCTTAGTTAAGATGCTATTCATGTTGTCTGATTGAGATGACCAGGTGAAGTGGAGGACAATAAGTTGAATGTTGATGAAATGAAGGAGTCCATATACTATGAACCATTCTAGAAAGAAATAGGTTGCTGGATTCCTCTAGTGGTCCGTTATATGGCTTTGATGAATGAAATTGACCCCTGTCCATTCAGACCTTTCTAGTGTTTCACTTTTTGTCTGTTCAGTAATATAGATATTGGAGTTGTAATCTGACTCAATTTGTGAGGCCTAAATCGTCCTTCTGCAAGTTCAGAGGGAAAAAAATTGGTAAGACAAATTTTCCTTGAGCCAATCATCGTTCGGAGGAAAAACATCTCAGGGAATGTGGACTTTCTTGTTTCAACTGCTGCTCTCGAAATTTCGTTTAGATTACGTTCGATTCGCAAAATCTTTTGGCTGAAAAAGAAAAGGGAATATGACAGGAAGTAACTATTGGGTCCCTAGATAACAAAGTAATAAAAACAAACGAATATTTCTGAATAATGATGATAAGAGAGTAATAGACAAATTATGCATGAAAAGTTGCCTCAATATATCAATGTGGTCATTTCCCCTTCCCCCAACCATCAAAAACATTTTTAATCGGTACAATTATGATTGGGTCAAGTGAAAAGAACTTGATATTTCTTAAATAAAGTTGTGGGTTTAAATTTTTCGAATGAAAAGGAAAAGAAAATCACTTTGAGAAGGTAACGTTTATTTGTTGTATTAGATTAGTCTTTTAGTATCATCTAATGGTATTATTATTTTTTTTGGTGAAAAAAGACACCTCTTGATCAGCCAATAATTATAGTATAGGCGTGCCAATTCCATGTTAAAAAAATCACGTCACTTCTTCATGTGGGGAATACGCACTTGTTTTTGTCTAAATAGATATCACTTTCCAGTTGAGATAGTTCTTCCTAAACATGCATTTCAGTTAACAAGTAATTTTTTTTGAATTGGAAGAGCAGGCACTAATAATCTAAGATTACAAGTAAGATTGAACCCGTAACCTCTCATTCATATAAAAGTTTTCATGTTATTAGACTATAAAACCGTTAGTCAATATATATCCTCCTTTATACTCTTTCACTCATTAAGGGACCTGTTCACTTGATGCTCGTAGAACACAAGTTAGTTTCACTTTTAGATCTGAAGTTTCAGTCCTTGCATTGCTACTTGATCATATTGCATACTTGAATAGATAAGATCTTGATGGATGTGTTAGCTTCATCATTATATCAATGAATATTATTTGTTATCCAGAAAGTCAAATCCCACCATGCAGATGCCAAATTAAAGCTTTCTTCTATCTTCAAGGGACTACTCAAGTCTTCCACTGCAGAATACTCTTAGTGTGGCTTTCACTCTATCATCAAGAACTTGAAATTCTGATCCTTCCGATAGCTCAACTTGTCACATCACCATGTCATTCACTGCATGCGTCTGAATTATTCCTTTTGTAATCTTCACCCAAATGATTGCTAAATATAGTCGGTCATAAACATGACTTCCTTTTTGGGCAAAAAGAATTGTAAGTGTCCTCTTTAGTCTTCATAGATAGTCAAAATTGTAATCAAGTCTTCTGCAGAACAGAAGAGTCGGAGTTCCCTGCCATTTAGTTTCCCTAGGGAAAATGGCATTTCATTGTCACAGCTTATGAGAAATCAATCATGCAAGAACAAAATGAAACAATTGGTGTGTTTATTAACATTTAAGACTATCAGAAGGGCTATTAAGGAGTAAAAGGTGAATTGTTTTTCCTGGGGTATTTTTGGACTTTGTTTGGATTATATTTGTTTCCCAAGTTGAGGGAACGTTTGATAATGTGTGTTTTCTGGCCCCAAACGCGCAACACTATCAAATATGCTTTTAAAGATATGCTTCTTTACTTATATTTTCAAGATTTTTATGCTTAGAGTATTCGTCTGAGAGTGAAATTCATATCAGCATAAAGAAGTGAGATCAATTGCTGAGACCCCTTAAATAAAGAGAAAGATAATGCAATACACTTTCCTTATATTCTCTTTAGTAGTAAATGTAAGAGTTAGTTAGGAGGTTTGCTTTGATTTTAATATAAGATTCTAACCCACTTTATCTCTTATATTATATTTGTTATTTTTTTCCAAACCACCTTGATTAGTACTCCCTCTAAGGCAATAATGAAACGCAAGAATAACTCAAATATATACAACCATGTATTTTAGATTCATCAGAGAACATTTTTTTCTGAATAAATATCTAATTTATCTAATTTTTTTAATCTATAAAAATTAGTTAAGTATTTACGTTATAAATCTTTTGTCCGCCACTATTCATGGAACCAAAGTTTCTTCTCTGAGTTCATCATTCATTTTCAATGAAGTTCAGAGTTAAGAAAATACTTTCTTTTGTTCTTTTTCTGAAGTTTGGAATTATGATAATTTTTTTTTTGGGTGAAGAATTATGATAATTAATTGCATTCAGTGTCTATGGTGTTCATTTATTAATTATGTAGGTTTAGGCTGTTGTTCTTGGGACATCTTTAATTGGTTCCACAAAATTATTGAACAGTTAAAGTTATGATTGTCACATGTCTCTGTGTCTGAAGTCTGAACTAAAGCATTGGTAAAAGCTGAAACTCTGCAAAATACATAAGTGGATCCTGTTCAGACTTGCAGTGCCTCAAATTTTGTCTGGTATGACTATAGTACCCTGCACTGACCAATAATTAAAGCAAAATAATCGGAACCAAGAGAAGTAATCCCATTTCATAAAACAAATAAACTGCAATTTAGGTTCTTGCCCAGTGTGTAATTGTGATACTAGAAAGGAGAAGAACCTTGTTTCGTTACTTCCTGCGAAGGAGGATGCCTGTATTCTGATGCTTACACGTTTAAAATACTAATATCATCAGTCACTGTTCCTGAAAGAAATGAAAAGCATCTTATTATTTGGTGTCAGGTATGTACAATCTGATGAATTATTGTGGTGATACATCAGTTTGAAGTTAAATCATCGTACATATGCAGGCCCCCTTTGGAGTGCCAATAATTCATGTTTGATGCAATGCAAGTTGGAATACATTAAACCTTGCAGGCTTTTTATTTCTTTGTGTTTTTTTGGTATTTATTTAGTCTTTTTTATATATAAAAAAGGTGTTTTTGAAGCATCCCCACTTCATATCTTTCTCTGCTTCATGACAAGTTTGAAACTGAACCCTTTTCTTTAGCTGGGAAAGTTGGATGAGACCCTTTACTGTGGTAAAAGCTACCACTCACAAAAGAAAAATGAAAACAAGCCTTTGTTTAGCAATGTGGTAATAATGTGTGACTTTAAATCTTCTTTTTGAGACCTTTTTGGTCATGAAATAATAAATTCAGAATGAGACTTATATCTTCAGAAACTTCTAGTGTTGATGTTTTTTCCCCCTCTCAGAGACTTCTTCATCTTCCACCCCCCTCTCTCTATCTCGCACGCGCCTATGAATCATTAGCAAAATGAATTAGCTGAACTAAATAAAGCTTATTCCCAGTCGTGAGTGATCAATTTCCACCAGAAGTTTTGATCTGTAAGAAGTTGAATAGATCAAGTCAATCATATAAAAGGACATAATTTCAGCTATACTTTTATTTTTGTCATGGCTTGATATATAATTATAACTAGTAGTCTTCTAGCAGTTGTTAAGAAATGATTTATTACAAAATAAGAATGCTAGTCCTCCCTCCGGTCCTAAATGCAGAAGCTGGAAAGTTTGTTGTGATTATAAATATAAATAATTGTATTGATTGCATATATTAAAAGGGGTTTTCATCAATTATAATATTTTTCAATGCAATGACTAAAGAGAATATTTTAGAGAAAACAATATATATTTGTTATAAATAACTAATTTGACTAACTTTTATTTAACTTGTACAATTAACACTTGGGAGGAGTATTTCATTTATGGATTATTTTTCACTTATACTCTTCTTTTTACTTTAGAACCCGACCTTCAATGGAAGTATCTTCTATATAGGTGATGATGAGATTTTCATAATAATAATATGAGATGTTAGTGAGCCAAAAGAATATGATTATGATTTCTGATTCAGATCACTGCTACTCCCTTGAAAGAAAAAACAAACCAAAGACCAACACAATTAAAAAGCAAGGATGTGATATTTGATTATTGACAATAATGGAGAGGAAAGATGGTTCACTCTACCTACCTAACTGTAATTAAGCTTGATTTCATGGCTAAAAACAGATGGCCTCTGTTCTTGTGTTGATCACTTGTGTCGTCACCACACTAGAATAAATCTCATGCATTGTTAAAAACATTTATACAGAATATTTACAGATTATTCTTTCAAACATGTCAATCCATAATCTCATAGAGCATGAGCATGTTTTTACTAACTGCTTAATCTTCGTTGGTATGAGTAAAATAAAGCTATGCATACTATCCAAAGAAAAAGAGCTATGCACAGGAAAAAAAATTATAGGGGAAATTATTATGAGTAGGTTTCAAGAAAGGAGTGCGGTAATAAAAAATTCAGTGGCATAAATCTATTATCGTTTCTATACTAAAATTTGTCATTGCATGTTGCTCATTTGTTGTGAGACTTTTTGGTAATTAAATTATGAGATCTCATAGTGATTTTCCTAAGAAATTATTCTAGGGTGGGTGAGTTAGGTTTTAAGGCATATTGAGGAGATATACTCTTCCGATCCTAAATATAAGACCTACTTTATAGTGTAAATTATATTACAAAGTACATCTTATATTTAGAACCGGAGGAGTATTTCATGACTGACTCGAAAAATAC